CACATGTTGCGTCAGAACGGGTTATATTAGGTTAAAAACTATAGAATTAATTTTGTGAAATTTTCAAATTGGTTAAAATTTAAAAGTTTAGGGCTTATGCAATTAGAAATTATTGATATAATAAAACTCTTTTCTGGTACCGTGCGATTTTCGTGATTTTGTGGTTTGTGCATATTTGAAAAATTAGAGTTGTTTAAAAAAATTTAAAAAAAAGAGTGTTGAGTGGCTACAGATTTACCAAACAATAGTCCTGTACATGTATTATTATTGTTCTGTCTGAAAGACAGAGATATCCAACCGGTGGCTAATATATTTTATGTAAGATCTAGGTGCCCTCTCTCACGTATCTATGAATGAGATACCCTTGAGGGTAGGCCGATCACTGTGCACAATAATAATCGACATAGTCAAGGCGTGGGGTGTGTGCACAGTGACAAGCTAAGAAAGGATTTAGAGAGTGTCCGCACGTTATTGGTTTAACTCTGTATTTATAGATGGGTTACCTGAAGGAGTGTACTTCTGGGCCTCTTAGGAATATTGAGGGCCCAAGTCCAACTGCTTAGCTGTCTGGATATGATTGTCATCAATAGGAGATTACCTTCCTTTTGTGATGTCCTTTATTGGTCCTTCTAGAATACGGGCCTTTGTCAGGTCCATAACAGTTTCCCCTTAGCCCGGTAGTTTGGTTGTCCAGGCTGTCGGGATGTAATATCAGTGATCTCTTCATTTTATTTCGCAAGTCTCTTTTCTTGTCAAAAGTTTAGATGTGTTGTTTTCATAGCAATAATTTTGATTTCTTCGAAAGAATTTGAGAATCTAAGGGCGTCCCCCTATCTTCTAAGATTATTTACCTCGACTAGAACTCACGTTCTTGCTATTTTTGCAAGACGGGTTCAAATACCTCGACGTTTTGGCCGAGCTAGAACTCGCGATCCTGCCCTTGGGCAAGACAGGTTCAAATACCTCGACTTGTTTTTCGAGGCTAGAACTCTCAATCCCGCCCTGTGGGCAAGACGGGTTCAAATACCCCGAATGTTCTACGGGGCTAGAACGCTCAATCTCGCCCTTTGGACAAGACGGGTTCAAATACCCTGGATTTATTTACGAGGCTAGAACTCTCAATCTCGCCCTGTGGGCAAGACGGGTTCATATACCCCGGATTCCCTTACAAGGCTAGAACGCTCAATCTCTCCCTGTGGGCAAGACGGGTTCAAATACCCCAGATTTATCCACAAGGCTAGAACTCTCAATCTCGCCCTGTGGGCAAGACAGGTTCAAATATCCCGGATTCCCTTACGAGGCTAGAACTCTCAATCTCGCCCTGTGGGAAAGACGGGTTCAAATACCCCAGATTTATTTACGAGGCTAGAACTCTCAATCTCGCCCTGTGGGCAAGATGGGTTCAAATACCCCAAATTCCCTTACGAGGCTAGAACGCTCAATCTCACCCTCTGGGAAAGACGAGTTCAAATACCCCGGATTTATCCACGAGGCTAGAACTCTCAATCTCGCCCTGTGGGCAAGACGGGTTCAAATACCCCGGATTTCCTTACGAGGCTAGAACGCTCAATCTCACCCTATGGGCAAGACGGGTTCAAATACCCCGGATTTATTTCTTAGGACTGGGACTCTCGGTCTTTCCCCTTGGAGCAGGACGAGTTTTAAATAGTCCGAGTTGACTTGTGAGGCTAGGACGCTCAATCCTGCCCTCTGGGCAGGACGGGTTCAAATACCCCAGATTGTTTTTCGAGGCTAGAACTCTCAATCCCGCCCGTAGGCGAGAGGGTTCAAATACCTCGACGTTGAATATTTAACTCAGCTTTTTGCCAGAGTTTCATTTTACCCCAAATTTTTATCCTGGGTCTTTATCGCGGATTGGGGTGTGATCCTTTCTCTAGGTCCACATCTCTCCAAACCCGTCTTCATTCTTAATAAGCCATTTATATTCCGGTGGGCCGGTCTTCATTTTGACTCTTTCTTCATAACCTACAAAAGTAAAATGTCAACATTTTGATTTTAAGTTTAGGCGGCAGTATCCGCCTTTTTTCTCGAGCCCGGTTTCTCTTGCATCGACTCTTCTTTCAACTTGGCTTCTTTTGCCCAAGTCTTGTATTCATCTAGGTGAATTTCCTTCCTTATTTGAATGGATCTGGATCTCCTTCCTTTTTTAGAGGGGATCTCCACACCACCTGTTTAATTATTCCTTACATCACATTATAAAGAAGATAATTAGCAATAATTTTGGTTCAATCATCAATCAATAATTTTCCAGCTGCAATCAGCAATCAATGATAATTCAATCAGCAAATTATATTTGACCATATTTTATGCTATATGATCTGATTGAGCACCCACCATATTTCATTTATGCTCCGTGAACATAGGGAACAAGGCCTCACGGTGAAACCTGATGCTCTTTTTTCCATGATAATATTTAAATTATCTGGCGACCTACTATTGCCGACATATAATACTAAACACATGCATAACAATGTTGACCAACTTTCAAAATTATATATTTTGCATATAAGCATCGCATAAGAATTTGGTCTAGCAAGAAGAAGTCATATATAAAATCATGATAATAATTTCTGGGATATAAAAGTAAGGAACAAAATGTTTCCCTGTTATTTTATAACCATCTTGCTTGCAATAGAGGACGATTCCTGGAGTGGGAGTAAGATAAACCAGCACGGGTCTTTTTAATTTAAGCTCATTGACATGGTTCTAGCATGTTATTCTTGCCTATTGAGATCTGATCCCGCCTCTGGTTTTGATGCCGAACTGCCATATTTATTGAAGTCTGATCTCAGCTTTGGTAATGACTTGGCTGAGATGCTTATTGTTGGATATTGGCCGAGATGCTTATTGGAGCCGGTTCTCTATCCAACTCTTGTGTATTCTGCATATCAATTACCCCTCTTTTGTTTGTGTTCTGTCTAAAAGACGGTATATTTTATGTAGGATCTAGGTGCCCTCTCTCAAGTATCTATGAATGAGATACCCTTGAGGGTAGGCCGATCACTGTGCACAATAATAATCGACATAGTCAAGGCGTGGGGTGTGTGCACAGTGACAAGCTAAGAGAGGGTTTAGAGAGTGTCCGTATGGTTTAACCCTGTATTTATAGATGGGTTACCTGAAGGAGTGTACTTCTGGGCCTCTTAAGAATATTGGAAGCCCAAGTCCAACTGCTTAGCTGTCTGAATAGGATTGTCATCAATAGGAGATTTCCTTCGTTTTGTACTATCCTTTATTGGTCTTTTAATACAGGCCTTTGTGAGTCCATGACAATTATCGTAGAAAGTTACAATAGCTTTGGCCCTTCCAAACCAGAATCAAAAACAAGCAAATCTAGCATGGATTATTGGTTCGGGAGTCACATCGTGTGCCGCACGTGGCTATGAGATGCAATGCAAATAGTCTCTGCAGAACTTGGAATCCCACGATATAGCATTCTAATATTCTATCCATCGTCCCCCACTCACTAATTAGGTTTACGATAGTTGATAACCCTTACCCAGTTACCCATCGTTCTGCAGATTGGGTAATAGAAACATCGCTGAACAGCGAATTTTATTCATTACATTGTTTAAGTGCATGATTATTAGAAAGAAAAAGAACAAAACTTTAAGCATGATGCATTCCTTTTTGTCGTTTAGTTCTTGTCAAATTGCGGTCCGGTCTATCACAGTCACAGCATGCTTACTATGAGGTTAATACAAAGCAGGTGATGACATATGATCCCACCTTTTGTCTTTTTCTTGGTGATAAGAGATGTTCTTTTCTTTTTCTCTTTCGATTTTTCTTTTAGATGTGACGGCAGACAGAATAGGATCGAGCCTTTTTGTTTTTGTTTTTTCTGCAGAAGATGAAAAATTAAATAATGAAATGACCCTTAAGTCACTACTTTAATTTTAATGATTCATACAGCAAAACAAACGGGCCCGCAAAAAAGACAAACATATCACAAAAACCCACTTTGGACAACACAATATGCCAATATGGAAGCAACTTCAACTAAGTCCAAGTAATACAATGATGGACAATCTCAGGAGGCCCAGAAAATATGAGATAAAATTCAAGGGGCTAACTATCTTGGGCTTCTTACTATTTCATTGATTCAACGAACCAGAATCATCGAGCTTGTGACACTCGGGCAAGGCCAGCTGCGACAGTAAACTTAGTAACTGACATTTAGAAACCCAACTCAGTTAACAGCGAATGTCTTTTAAATTCTATGGTATTCAAGTGTTAGCTGTCAGTCTCCTCCTGAGAGAAGGAAGGGGAATGCGATATAATATACTCTTTCAGGAATGTGTATTGCCACTCGTTGTTCAACTATTTATTTTTTTTATACCATGACAGCAATGAGGTTTAAGTCTATAAATTTGTGCAAATTATTCAAATCTCTCAGCCCACTTCTAATGGTTTATTAATTTTTATAAAAAACATCACTCTTTTTCTTTGTTAATCAAACTACTAGCTTAAAAAATTTATATCAATTTACAAAAAAAAAAATAAAATAAAAAAATAAAAAAAATTATATCAAAACTAATTAAATATGAAAGAGGCCTTCTCATCTATAATAAAGTGCTTAGGTTGTTGGGTATATATGAAATCTATAAAAAAATTCTCCAAGCACCTTTCGCGTACCCAAAATATCCGTGTACTCAGCATCGTTTTTAACCTAAGTATTGTTTCCCAAGCAATCATCCTTAGATCACCCAATTGATAGTAATAACGGTACAATTACAATGATTGTAACAAGACTAGAGTTATGACACGGAATAAGATGCAAAAGCTCGCAAGGTTATGTTTTTATGGAGACAATAACTATTAGCAAAGAGAAGAAGCTCATAACAAACTCGAAGACAGCTTTATAAATCGGCATAAAACAAAAACAAAGAATGTTAGTCCGTAGGAACTATACCACACCAGAGCTACAAAAGATCAGGAATAGCAACATTAAACACCCATTACCAGGGACTGAGATTACATTCTGAAATCAAATGGATAAAAATACATTAGCAAGCAGTAAACCAAAAACTCTGTAGGGATCACAAAACTTACAAATCTCCTATACATCGCAAGAGATCATATGGTGGATAATCCCAAGTGGAAAATGGGACAATGACAAATACAAAGAAGAACGAAACTTGAGAAATGTTTTAATCTCTTCAAAATAGTGCTTGAAATTTTGGTTAAAAGAATAAACAGGATGAAATAATAATGCTGCATTGGTACATTGAAATTCATGTGGCGGCCTCTCCATTATGATTTCATCCTGTTCATTCTTTTAACCAAGGCAGCATACAAATGTTTTCCCTCCTCATCTTGACTCCTCACCCATTCATCCCCACTAATTAAGCACACCCTAAAACAACAATAGATTTCAGGTCACCACATTATACACTAGAAGTCAATCACAGGCCCAAAAGTAGTTGCAGACCAAGATCATACCTTCAAATTTGATCTTTCATTTTCGGAATTTAGTCTCAATAAAACCTCTACCATAGTATACAAATATAAAAACTTTTACATGGGATTGCAGTCCACAAACAAGAGAATGAATCCTCTCATGGGAAAACTTACCGGAAGAGGATCCATTTCCCCATTAACGAGTTATCCTTCTCAGACAAAGCAAGAGCAACCAACATGGGTTTTCAGTAAAGATAAACACACCCACACTTAGCCACAAGAATCAGTGAATCCCAATTGAAGTTCATTAATCACTGAAATACATAACAGCAAGCCTAATACAAAACAACAGCAAATGAAACTAACAAGACTAATGGAGTAGTTAGTGAATGGTGAGTCACAGTACCGGTGGTGTGGGCCTTGGCAAGACCCCTTTAGCTTCCACGAGCCTATACATATACCAAGACCCAACGGACCTATAAGGCTTCCATTTCTGGCACAAGTGCTCCATTTCGGAAGGCAAGGGTAAACCCTTGAGGCCATATAAGCGTTCCACCCCTCTCCGAACAACGAGATCCCCAACAGGTAGAACGTCGGGGCGGTGAAGAGTGAAGATCATGAACATGTGAACTGACCAAGGCCCAATTCCCTTAACCATGGTGAGCTTATTATGGAGAGTTTCGTCGTCCATTTCGAGTATCGAAGAATCCGACAAAACCCCATCGGCGAATTTGGTGGAGAGGTCATGGAGGTAAGTGGCTTTGGGTCCCGAGATTCCGACCTGGCGGAGCTGCTGAGGTGAGAGAGCGAGAACGACGTCGGGTAGAACCGCAGAGAGGCCACCGCAGAGAGAGACGAAACGGGTTTCGATGGCGTCGGAGGCTTTGTTGGAGAGTTGTTGGGAGATGATGCTCTTGGTGAGGGAAACGAAAGGTGCGCGATCAGTGAAGAAGTGTGGAGGACGGAAAGTGTCTATGCAGGTGGCTAGGAGATGATCGGCATTGCGGAGATGGTTCAGAGCCACTTCGATTTCGCCTTTGCAAGTTAATGGTTTCGCAATCATCGGAGAGAATAGTGAGTGCGTTGAAGCTGAAGCCTTTGTTTCTTTGTTATCAACGGTATCGGTATCACGGTTGAGTCTTGGAATTTTTCGAGCACGGAATGAGATTTTTGTAGAGGGTGTCGCGGTGGTGGATTTGATTGAGGATGGGGATTGTGAATCGTCGGGATTGGAATTGGCTTTCGTTTGAGACCGAGTTCGCTTCATCGCGGAAAAATTTGGGGCTGGTTTTTTAGGGTAAACCAATCTGGAAGAGATCCTTTTCAGTGATATTTTTTAAAATAACTAATAAAATAAAATGGGCGGGTATCAAACAAATATTCTTTTCCATGCTGCAGCGGCAGGGCACAATGTCAAATGTATATTATTAACATATGACATGCGTACAAAATAGATGGCGTTTTAAATATAATTAAATTATTATATACTTTTTATTTATTTTTGATTGAAAAGATTATTAATTTATGAGAAAAATATTTGTCATTTTAAGAGAGAGATAAATATAAAAAAATAATTTTTTATTTAAAATTTAAATTAAAAAAAAAAGGAATATTAGTCTCTGTTATATGAGAGTAGTTCTCTCATGCTATATAGATTATAGAGAATTCAAGTGGAGTCCACCGTTAAAAAGCAAAAAAGAAAAAGAGGGGGTGCGATTTTTGAAGTGAGAGAAAATAAGATAACTATCTCATATAAAATGAGAGTAGTATTTCCCTCAAAAAAACCACCTATTTTTCCTCCATGTTTTTCATTCTTTGTGTTTATTTCTCTTTTAAAATGACATTACTTATGTCATTTAAAATGACAAACAACAAACCAAACCGTTTATTTATTACTTTTCTAACTACAAATAATGGTTGATTTTGGTTTGACTCGGATACGTGCCCATAGTGTCTAATTTGAGCATGATACACGGGAGCAGCAATTGCTTGAGCTTCGGAGCTTTATTTGATTTTAAAAGATTGATCCTAGTTCGACTAGGATCATTTTGGCTTTCTCGTGGTATAGTAGTGTGTAACGGCCAGATGTACAGCCATGCGCTTGGTAATAAAATTGTAAGCATTTCCTTCATCAATGAAGATTTGGACTTGCTTGCCTGCAATTATTCATGTAAGCGGAACCAATGAGAAGAATGGTGGTCGAATAGGGCATGTTGGGTTATTTCCTATAATGCTAGTGGGAAAGCTTTGCTAGGTTTGATGTCTCCCTGATCATCCTCGTCACTCGTCAGTGCCTTCTAAATATAAAAAATTTGGTGGTCCTTTGCATTTGTGCCCATGGATATAACTTTCATCGCAATTGTAGTAAAGGGCTTTTTGGTAGTGCGCTTGCATTTCTACTAGTGTGAGGCGCTTGATAGGTATATTTCGTGCAGAAGCACGGAGTCAAGCTTGTTGGTTTGATGGCTAAACTATTTGAACCGGTCTTGTAGGCCACAATTTACCCTGACCCATAACATTTCACCAATCTACCCTTATTTTGACCGGTGACTGAAGGTTTAATCGATTAGCGTAATCGATTAAACCTTCAAAAACAAAAAAATGAAAACGAAATTGTTCTTCTATGTTACACTTCCTCTATGGTTAAAGCTCATATGTAGAAGAAGTAGAACGAACGCGCGAGGCAAGGCCTGCACTCCTTGTCGTCGTCGTTCAGATCAGGTGAAGGTTGCTTCGACAAAGAGCGAGCCCTCAATCCCACAAGATTTGCCAAATTTCTTTTCTATCCTTTTCCTGCAACCAAAATGCATCGAACTTTTAGGCCATCAATCAGATTGACCTTGTTTTATTTTAGAGAGAGGGGGGAGAGAAAGAGAGAGAAGAGAATAAAGAAGATGGTCAGAATGATCATGTTTTTTTTATACTAGTTGGTTAGTCTTGTAATTTTTCCTCGCGCGTTGTTATATAGGTAGAGGAAGAGTGCCGAAGTTATGATAGAAGAAGAAGAAGCGTACAATATAAATGGCTAGGAAGGGGAGTTAGTGAGTGTGTATGTGGGTGATGAAACCAAGCATATGTTGTACGTGACGTGCATGACTGCAAACTTGTGCCTGCATTCTTTGTGTTGTTGTTGCTGATAATATATCCAAAAAATTCACAATATGACTTTATCGTTGAAAATGCAAGTTAATCGATTACAATAATTGATTAATTGTCCCACCCTGTCATAGTGAGTAAAGGGAGGGAGTGGTGGTGGGTGGTGGGTGGTGGGTGGTGGGTGGTGAGAAGGGACAAGAACCCATTATCATCGCAAAAAGAAAATGAAGATAGAGAAGAGGCAAGCACATGCGGTACATGATGCATTCCTTGATGAGCTGCAACGTGTTTTTTGCTCGCTTGTTGAGTTTCGTTGAATGAATAATAAAGCAACATGGAGTTCAAGTTTCGAGATTGAGACTGGAGGAACCAACCAAACCAAACTCTTCCCTCTTCTTTCCTATTTGTGAAAACCCAAAACCCTAGAGTGCTTGCACGCACGCTCATACACAGAGGAAGAGAAACTCGAAGGAATGAGGCAATGGACTTCTACGAGTATGAATAGTTGGAGAAGACAGTTGAGGAGCAACCGAAAGATAAAGATCCTTCTAAGAAGAAAAAAGAAACCAACGACAAGAGCGACATGAGTTACCGGAAGTGCGACGTCAATGACGATTTGGATGCCGATGAACAGAGCAATAGGTCAAGGGGAGACCATGATAATGGCTCCAAGAAAGATCGCGACAGAGACCGTGACCGAGAACGTTCCTCCTACCACCATAGGTAGAGGGAGATGTGCGTGGAAGATGTGCATTTTCAAATTGCGTATGAAACGTCTCATGCAAAAGTAAGTAAATGTGCTCTTGTCACGTGTTGTGCTCTATGAGACACGTATTTGGGATCTGTACGTTCGAATCATGAAGATGATGTGCGACTTGTAATGCGCGACACATGACAAGCGTGCACTTGCTTATGCACAAGTTCTGCACCACCTGACTTGAACGCGCATACCACATGTGCTTCTCACTACATTATTTTTATAAAATATTTAGATTTTTGATCAATGTAATAAAATATTTCCTTTCTTATATTAAATAGGACAAAAGATTATTATTTTTGTGCGAATGACATGGTTAAAAATTATCAAATTATATCACTTTTAATAAGTAATTATCAAATTATATTATTTTAATAATTTTTTAAAAAACAATACCACTTTATTACACAACTATTTCCTAACCCTCAAAAAATAATAAGCTTTCTCTTCTTGTTTCTTTCCACTCATTTTCTCGAGAGACCGAAACTTTTGTCCATTATATATTTTATTACCAACCCCTCATTTAATATTTATTATGCATCTATCATTTATTATTAAAATATAACTTAATTTAGTTGTCCCCACAAAAATCATTTGTCCTCATTATGCACAAGTCATCTTAGCATACAGTCTGCTCAAATAATTTTTTATTTGATCTGTACAGAACAAATAATTTATAATGTGATTTGCACAGCTCATTTTTTTATTTCATGAACAGCAATAATGAATGAACATGATGCATTTAAAAAAGTTTTTTTTTTAATTAAAAGATATGTTTAAATAATTTTATAATGATTTATATAGTTTTTTTAAAAAATTTAATTGTAATTTTTTTCTTAAAAGCCTTTTAAAAAAACTCTTAAAACATATAAGCTATAAAATTTAATTTTTTTTTAAGTTTATCCAAACATATTAAGATGTTACCAAAATAGAACAGTAAGCAAAACCAACAACTCCCTTCTCATAATTGTCTAGATAAAATTTACACATCATAATTCATGTGTTGTCACTTAAAATATTTTTGACAAAAGATGAATCTGCAACAGAACAGTAGCTTGTTGTAGAACCCATGCATCTTGGAATCTCAACATCACAAGCATTGCAACACTAGTCAAAGTCAGCACAGAGAGCCACCTTCTTTGCTTGAACTTGAGGTTTGATTGAGGCACAGCACAGTCACTAAGGTAACAGCAATGAGTTTCAGCGAGAATAGCGACGATGGTAAGGAACTTAAGAAGCCGTTCCTCAACACTGGGAGTTGGTACAAAATGGGTTCAAGACAATCCAGCATCATAGCTTCCTCAAGTCAAAAGGTCATGCGAGATTCGTCTGTTTCTGTCATCTTCTGTGTCCTTATCGTCGCCTTGGGTCCTATTCAATTCGGTTTCACGGTGCTTCAAATTCTCTTCACTCTATACTAACCAACCTTCATGAAACCTTTTACTTATCTTGTTTGCTTTTACACAGTGTGGATATTCTTCTCCAACGCAAGAGAGTATAATAAGCGATCTAAATTTATCGCTTTCTGAGGTTTGACTTTGTTCATTGTTTCTGAATTAGATTTATTTGAATGATGAGTTTTAAATCATTATGCTTACTTTATGCTGTTGGGGTCAGTTCTCTCTATTCGGATCTTTATCCAATGTGGGGGCAATGGTGGGAGCTATAGCCAGTGGTCAGATAGCAGAATACATAGGACGCAAAGGGGTATTATAACGTTTGTCTATATTGGCTTTATAAAAGAAGAAATTGGAATGTGATGAGTGATGAGTGATGCTTTTGGCTTGTTGAATTGCAGTCATTGATGATTGCGGCAATCCCCAATATATTAGGATGGCTCGCCATTTCTTTTGCCCAAGTAAGTGTTTAGCATTTAACATGGATAGTTGGTTAGTGATATTATTGATGTATCTTGGGTTTTTTTACCTTATAGGGTGTATTGTTGCTTCTATAGGACTCGTCGTTTTTATTTATGGGGAGGTTTTTGGAAGGTTTTGGCGTTGGGATAATCTCTTACGTGGTAATCTTTGTTAGTCCTTTTATCTTTTATTTGTTGGGAGTTGGGACTATCAAGAAGAATGTTAAGTGAAAGTAGTCTACTGGTTTTTCTTCTGTTTAGGTGCCTATTTATATTGCTGAGATATCACCTCAAAACATGAGAGGTACCCTTGGATCGGTGAACCAGGTTGGCACTTTCAGTTACTAATGAATGTGAATGTCATCATCATCATCTTCTTCTTTTTATTTGTATATGAAATTCATTTTGTTCATGTCTGTGATACTTTTGGCTCAGCTCTCTATCACAATTGGAATAATGCTGGCTTATCTATTGGGCCTTTTTGTCAACTGGAGAGTACTTGCAGTTCTAGGTAAATTCCTAGTGATTTACTTGGTTCAGTTGGTTGGTCTTTGGTGAAGGCACAAATAGAACTCTTAATAATCT